GTCCTCTATACACAGGAAACCACAGCCTGTGGAGGGGAAGTTGGTAGTGGTACTCTACATACTGTAAACCAGTCAGTGGAGGGGGAGGTGGTAGTGGACCTCTATACACAGTAAACCACGGTATGCGGAGGGAAGGATTAAGTGGTCTTCAATACAGAGGAAAGCTATTCCTACATATAATAAAGAGTTATCTGGACTTTATAAAGTATAAATTGTGGAAATTAATTTTCATCTGATTAGAGACACTCTTTGACAAGAAATGTAAACGGTATGTACAGTGTTGGAAAAGTGTATCTGTGAAAGAATAGTTGTTGCTAACATCACTACCATATATGGTACATATGATAATCTGCCCGTCAGAATTTCAGGTCGAGCAATCTCATTAGGTACCGAACATGAATTATTCTTTTATGTTTCAAACAGCAATAATAAAAAAGCATTGGGAACTATTGTAAAATCAACCTCATCATGGATGTTCATTGTTGATAGAGTATTAAATCCACACCATATATAATTTATAAAGCAACACTTATTGATATGCATGGGAAATTAATTTATCAATATTCAAACTATAGTGATATGGTTCGTTACAATGCAGGCTTTCATGTGTACAGAACGATAATTACACTCAGGCCATTAATCACAAGTGTTGGGGTACCACAGTAAGGCTTTACACTCCTAGATTACACAACTCTCTCTTATTACTGAAATACATAATCATAAATAGATTCTCTGCGTCTTTGTGTTGTCAAATTCAAAGTACTGCTTAAAATTCTGATAGTTTGGACTCTATGACAGGTTAAACCGACTCCTGTGATATCATGTGATATCCTAACTGATTCAGGTAGGCCTTTAGGCTGTATTTCCATTGTTACAGAACTAGCTGGAATAATTATTGGACATGGAAAATACTGTAAAGGCATCACCAGTGCTGCTTAATTATGAATAATTCAGTCAAGTCAATCAGCTCCTCTTTAGTGTGAATTTTCATGTAGCAATTGTTCTAATATATAGTGATCATGGAATTGTCTGTGAAATTATAGCTGTCTCACTCACATAATTATGTGGACGTTTTCACTAGCCTTCGTCACTTACAGGTGTGGAATTTGAACTTGTCTGCCTCACTCACATAAGTGAATTTGAACCTGTCTAATTCACTCCAACTGGGTTCATGGAATGACAAAAAAAAAAAAACCTTCAAACTTAATTTGAATATCATTTTATTGAAAATCATTACAAATCTATCGTTGCAATTTCATTTGGACTCTTGTACAACATTAGCACTAAGCTTCCAATGGCCTATAAGGTAACAACTATTTACAGGGCAATAAGTAATATACAGGGTAACTACTATAAAGGGTAACTAATATACAGGGTAACTACTATACAGGGTAACTACTTTACAGGGTAACTACTATACAGGGTAACTAATATACAGGGTAACTACTATACAGGGTAACTACTTTACAGGGTAACTACTATACAGGGTAACTAATATACAAAGGTTATTTAAATACAATATACAAATGAGTATGTACAAATGGTCGCTTTGTAAAGTGAGGTATACAACTTAAATATGAAACTTAATGCTGAAAAATATCTAATGGTAATGGTAATGATCATCAATAAATTAGATGTATTAACATAAAACACATAAACACATGAACACATGAACATAAAATGAAGTAACATTTACAGTAGATTTCTGACTCTTCAGGATAACAGATTTGGTAAACTTGGCAATATCATTGATCAATTAAAATATTATTTTTATATCATATACAATACAGTATGAAAACAATAATAACACACATTAATGTTCGTGATTTCATGGATGTATTGATCATTCTACAGTGTCATGTAGGGCTAAGAGACCAGTCCACAGTGTCCCACATGACTAAGGGACCAGTCCACAGTGTCCCATTTGACTAAGGGACCAGTCCACAGTGTCACGTAGGGCTAAGGAACCAGTCCACAGTGTCCCATATGACTAAGGGACCAGTCCACAGTGTCACGTAGGGCTAAGGAACCAGTCCACAGTGTCACGTAAGGCTAAGGGACCAGTCCACAGTGTCACGTAGGGCTAAGGGACCAGTCCACAGTGTCACGTAGGGCTAAGGAACCAGTCCACAGTGTCCCATATGACTAAGGGACCAGTCCACAGTGTCACGTAGGGCTAAGTGACTATAGTCTACAGTGTCACGTAGGGCTAAGTGACTATAGTCTACAATGTCACGTAGGGCTAAGAGACCAGTCCACAGTGTCCTTCAGAGCCAAAGGACCTGTCTACAATGTCCTACAGAGCCAAATGACCAGTCTTAAAGGGCCAAGGGACCAGTCTTCAGTGTCCTACAGGCCCAACGAATCAGTCGTCAGTGTTCTGTGAGGCCAAAGAAATAGTCTACAAGGTCCTACAGGCCCAATGAATCAGTCCTCAGTACTCTATAGAAGCAAGGGTCCAGTGTATATAGTCCTTCATGGCCAACACTATTAACAACACATTTTAGGTTAACTTAGCTTGTCCCAAACTTAACTTGTTCATAGATAGTATAAGCTAAATATGGAGCTACTTTTCAACTCAACTTTAGCTGATTACAAATTATTTGGTGACACTGGTGCATAGCTAATTTTTAGAGGGATTTTGTTTTAATTACTTATATATTATGATGACCTATCATTGTTAAAACAGTATTTTAAATGATAGAATCTCACACTTGCACAATCATTTTCTTGTCAAATTCATCTCTATCGTCCTAAACACAATGACGCCATTTAAATATTTATATGTCTTCAATAATATCAATGACTATTAAGATATTATTAATTTTGTTCAGGTTGAATGACCCATGATGTTCGACAGGTGGGCAGTGCCCACCCCTCACCTGACAGGTATAGATCGTGACAGGTAGAATCAACAGGTGTGCCCTGATCAGTAACAACCGTTTCCGGTCAACACTGAATATTTTATAGAGGCACAACTCTAAATTAAACAACTGGGGAAATCAACACATATAGTTTACTGTAGCATGACTTTAAACCCATCCATGCATGGTCAACTAAACGCGAAGGATTTATAATTGGCAAATATCTGATAAATGAATAATGTTTCACCAGCGAGTGCAACACACATCAAACTTCATTAGAGATATTGTCATTCAGTTCATAAACGTGGTGCTTTTTTTTTTAAATATGTCTTCTTCGAATAATAAAATATATGAGTAGACAAGCGAAAAAATCAGTTTATACACAAAAGACTCAAAGCAATGTATATGTTTCTAGATATTTATTTTCATTATACTATGATTTATCCTACCTATATTTGGGTTAAGGGGCTATCTCAGCTGTGTCATATAGTCGACGTGTCACCTACAAGTCATTTGAGGGGCGCGTGTCCTCAATGACGCCTCGTTGCGCGCGAGATAGCTTGTGACACGTTTACTTCATATGACTAATTTATTCACCTTCATACATGCTGTCCTGCTAGCTCCACAGCTTGGTGGGACGGATCCTTAGCGTATGAGCATGTATGAAGGGAAGTAATAGGAAGACTAAAAACTCACTTTCATAACATGCTGTCCTGGCTGTGTGACAGCTTGGTTGGACGGTGCCGTCCTGGCTGTGTGACAGCTTGGTGGGACGGTGTATGAGCATGTATGACGTATGAAAGGAGTATATTATATATTTATATCTTGGGGGTATTACGTAATGTTATGTAAAAATATGCATCACAATGAAGTAAAAACCCAAATGAAGCTGTGATACATTATTTGACCCCATTTTTTGTTTGTTCTTAATAATGTTTCCAGCTGAGTGCCCCCAAGAAATATAGGTTAGTGAATGTAAATAGTCCCACTGAATTCCTTCTCAGATGTTGCATAATATTCTGATAAATGTGCTTATAACACATATTTTAAATTTACAGTACAACAATATATGATTCAACACAAAACCATTCCTGATATGTCCACAAAAACAACTATCAATTTGTAAACTGTAGTCTGTAATGTTCTTTATATGTGATCTAGATAGCTTCAGTTGAAACACATAGATTTTTGTGCTTCCTTCAATACTGATTTTGGTGTCTTGATATATCGACAATAAGTATCAGACGACCAGCGTCCCAAAGTTTTAATCAAGTGATCCTCTACTTGTCCTGTTGCTGCTGAAGTTGCTGCTCCTGATCGTAGACTGTGACCGTTATACAAATCTGGATTTAGACCGGCCAGTCTAAGAACATGTTTCAGATGCTCAATAAACACATTTCTGGTTAATGGTGTTTTATAATCTGTTACAAACAATGATTCTGTTTGGCATCCCAGTTTTTGTCGTTCCATTAAATATTTACACACTACTGTATATGGACATGTGTCTGTATAGTTTTTAAACAAAGATATAGCCACTCCTTTCTTAAACGGATCTGTTTTAGACGACTTTAGAGTTAATATGAAATAATCCGATTCGATACACACATCTATCACAGATAAATTAACACCTGACTCAAATGTTGATCTACACGTGAATTCTCCACACCTAAGAAAACCGAAGAATGCCACTGTACAAGCAGTTTCCATCATGAGATCTGTGAATTTACTAAAAACACCTAACCTTAAGGTTCTACAAATGTTAGCTAATATCGTTCCTGTGATCGGTAATCGGGGCTTAGCTTGCGTGGAAGACTGACGTTTTAAACCATTTAGAACAGCATTTAAACGTGGAGAACTAATTGCACTAATGTTGACAAGTGGTCTATCACTGTATCTCAGACATGAGTGTCGAATCCCACACAAATATAATTTCACTGTAGGAAAAGAAAGCTTGAGTTTTGATGCGCAATAGGCCACAAACAGCACCAATAAATCCTCTGTTACTGGTGGTGCTACTCCTTCCATAACCATTGATATGAAGCCGTGCAGTAATAAGAATTGTACATACTTCCTGAAACCAGTTTCATAAACGATCTTGGTTCTAGGTGCAATAGACTTCTCCAGGAGCCCCTGCACTATGGTGTCGAGTTCCAGATGACCTCCTTGAACTTGGGTACCGTGTGGGGCACCCGATCTGCTCCTGGTGCTAGTTTCCGGAATCTGTCTATCTGGAATCGAGATAAGGCATCGGCGATAGAGTTACATTTGCCTGGGATATGTTCTGCATAAATGGTGAAATTATAATGAATAGAGCACACAGTTAGCCTCCTCATTAAGGGCATAATGTTTGTTACCTTAGACCTGCCCTTATTTATAATTTCCACTGTTGCTGCATTGTCACACCACATAAGTATGCGTTTTCTTTCCCATAAATTTCCCCAGAGAATGCTGGCTACGACAATTGGATATAACTCCCTATAAGCCATAGAAATACTGTCTGATCCTGTGGTTGTCTTTCTTTTGCTTCTGCTTGAATGCTCCTGTTCTAATTTTAGCACATCTGGCCATGGCGCAGCAAACCATTTTCCTTGATAAAAACCTCCATATCCTAATGTTGATGATGCATCGGTGAATAACTCCAAATCCTCCGCTTGTGTCAGCCATGGGTCCCTGAACAATGCTATCCCATTCCAATCTGTTAAAAGATGGAGCCACATACTTAAATCCTCTCTGCACTCCTTATTCAACTTCACATAATGACGTAGTGATGACACTTTCGTAGAGAGAGCGATTAAATAGGAGACAAAACTTCTTCCTGCTGGTATGACTTTCGATCCAAAATTGAAATGTCCTAGAAGTTGTAACACTTCTTGTTTGGTGACTGATTTCCGGTTCTGATAAAATTTGATCATTTCGATCATTCTGTCTAGTTTGTTTTGTGGTAGTCTTGCTTCCATAGCACAGGAATCTAAAGTAATGCCTAAATACTCAATGACACATGCCGGTCCCTCGGTTTTGTGCAAGGCCATAGGAATGTGAAGCTTCTGAAAAATTCCTTTAAGTGTTTCCATTGTCTGGTAGCCGTCTATTGAAGTTTCATTTATAGTAATGAAGTCATCTAATAAATGGAGAATATTTCCAATATTGTAATTATGTATCGCTATCCAACACACAGCTATGGATAAGTTATCAAAAATCCTAGGACTTGATCTACATCCAAAAACTAATCTTTTGTAAAAGTAATATGAGTCCTCCCATTTAATGCAAAACAAGTGCCACTGTGATGGATGGATTGGTAGCAACTTAAAAGCATCTGATATGTCTGTTTTACACATTACCGCTCCAGGTCCAATAGTCTGAATCAACTTAGTTGCATCTTCTATCTTCACATATGAAAGTGAGCACTGATCTTTGTCAATTAACTCATTAACACTGGGATTAGAACTATCTTCATGAGGGGCTGATAAATCTATAACTAACCGTTTCTTATTAGAATATTTTCCTGTTGCTATACCAATAGGGCTCACCCTAAAATGACTGAATGGAGGTTCTTTGAACGGCCCTAATAAAAACCCTTTGTTGATTTCTTTTTCTATCAATTCTGACACTATGTCTGGTTCGACCAGCGCTGACTTTAAGTTTTTACATACCTTGTTTGGTAGAATCCCATCTAACTCTATCATAGTATCAAAACCTTCCTCTAACCCTACACACAAATACTCTACAAAAGTCTGGTTTGGATGATTACTTAATTCTTGTCTTAAAGCCGAAACATCCACAGGGGTTGTTGCTTTCCATTCTATATCTTTTTGAGATAGTCACTGTTTTCTGTCCTTGATGTCGTCCCTGTATTTCCCTTGGTCATGTTGTTTTACTTGACACAGGTAGGCCGGGTGTGTGTCACTGTCACAGGTGCTGCACTGGTGGAGGAACGGACATCTGTTTCTGTGGCACTTCCCAGCATTGAAATTATTGCAGTGTTCCTTTCCTTTGCTTGCTGTCCTAGTTCTCCCATACTTATCTGTTCCTGTTTTGTACCCTTTCCTTTTCTCCTCTCCTTCCTGCCCTTGTAAACCAAACCCTTGTGGCTGTGACTGTTGCAGTCGTTTTCCTGTTAAATCTTGGGCGTTACAAAAACCTAGATGTATGTGTGATTGATCCACAGTAATCACATGTGTTTGTTTTTGTCCCTGCCATGATGCGATTGATCAGCTCCTTGTCTCGGATCGCCCAGTTCACTCGAATGTTGTGCTCCCTCAAAGCTTCCCAGCTCCTAGCCGCAAAGATCCTATGGTATTCATAGAATTTATCCCCAAACATGTTATGGAGTTCTATGATTATAGCCTCGTATTTATCCAGTTGGTCTCGTTTGTAGGGGAACTCTGCGCTGAGTATTCTCTTATACTTCCCGAAAGCTGTGATAAACTCACTGATGCCGAGCTGTCGGGACAGGCGGGGGTCTTGAGGCGCTCTGAGATTAAGACTCAGACCATCTGTTAAAATGGTTCGACACTGGCTGACCTCGTATTCGGGGATAAGCAACGAAGCTAGGTTTATGTCCCTTCCCTCAATTATTTGTTTTCTAAGAGGGGCCGACACCAGATCTAACATGGGCAGATTCTCCGGGGACACACCCCCTTCAGTGAACATACCTCGTGGAGTGCTGTCGATGTCCCTGCTTTTCTCCGCCTCAATCGCTGTGTATAAAGTATACGATGTTGGCGCTGGCGACGGTGTTGATGAAGCTTGCAGTCTGCGTTGACCAGAATTGGTTTCCACAAGCCGATTTACAGTGTTTTTCAATTCGTTGATGCACTCCATCATCAGTGTCATGGGCGCCGCCATTGTTGTTGTCGTCGGCAGGTGCACGCTTGCGTTTGTGTCTGACTGCGCAGCAGTCTGCGCATCAGCCGTTTCCGGCACTTCCCTACACAAAGCAGTAGGCATGTCGGTGCTTGGACGTGATCGTATTTCATTTGGCGTATTAAAAGTCACCGTCGTGTTTTGGTTGAGGGCTTTATTTTCTCGATACATTTGTATCAGAAAAGTTCTACTTAATGTAGTCGGCGTCCAAATTCCGAGCCCCTGCAATTTTTCCCGTAATTGATTAACCGTCCAATTAGACGGATTTTCAAGATCCAACGTCGTCCTCCTCGTACGCGATCTGCTTCTACGTTCTGCCATTGTTTAAATATCACTTAAGAATATTAACACTAAAAATACAGAAGTAGAATGTCACAATTGTAAAACTGGTTGTACAACGATATAACAGTTATACACCGCTCAGTCAATATTTTACCAACTTTCAATCTTTCTTCTTCGGCGGTTGTCGGGGCTGGAACTATAACTTCAGTGTATAAAATTCACGATAGGAAGTTTTACAAGAAAACTTTCTGTGAGTAAAATCCAATAATGCTTCTGAGATGAGCATCAAATATTATACGTCTTAACACTCTGCTGCTGTTCCTAAGAATGACCAGCACTGTACCTAATAACCCTTCCTTCCGTTGGGCATATCAAATTACCATTACCTAATTTGGATGACTGACCAGTCACGTGACTAGTCAGATACAGTCTCTGAGAATGACCAGTCATCCCTCTATTCTCCAGTTACTCTGGGCATATCAATTTACATTACCTAAACAGGCCCATTGCCTAGTCATCTCAGTTGACCCCTACAAACTCAAAGTGGTTCAACCCATGATGAAACCCTCGAAGGTGGAATGACCCTTACACCAGGGGTCAATGTTTAGTAAGTCTACCCGAGTCTCTGTGTACAAACAACACTTATATCCATAAGTATTAATTTATACACAAAAGACTCAAAGCAATGTATATGTTTCTAGATATTTATTTTCATTATACTATGATTTATCCTACCTATATTTGGGTTAAGGGGCTATCTCAGCTGTGTCATATAGTCGACGTGTCACCTACAAGTCATTTGAGGGGCGCGTGTCCTCAATGACGCCTCGTTGCGCGCGAGATAGCTTGTGACACGTTTACTTCATATGACTAATTTATTCACCTTCATACATGCTGTCCTGCTAGCTCCACAGCTTGGTGGGACGGATCCTTAGCGTATGAGCATGTATGAAGGGAAGTAATAGGAAGACTAAAAACTCACTTTCATAACATGCTGTCCTGGCTGTGTGACAGCTTGGTTGGACGGTGCCGTCCTGGCTGTGTGACAGCTTGGTGGGACGGTGTATGAGCATGTATGACGTATGAAAGGAGTATATTATATATTTATATCTTGGGGGTATTACGTAATGTTATGTAAAATATGCATCACAATGAAGTAAAAACCTCATGTAGATGCCTTAGCACAAGAATATAAACATGTTCCGAATTTCAGTCCAGGAATGTTGGAAGCGAGCTACCCAACCCTAACTCCCAGTGGAAGGGGGTGGTATGATTTCCAATGCTTGACCAACTGGCAGTGTTTTCTCACTTGGACTAGTGCCAATTTTTGAAGTTGGGACAGAACATCGCCCTGAGTACAGGGCGCTAAAGCGTGAGATAGACCCAGGCACCATCTGAGAAGGAAGTGTGGCGGGGACGGCGGCGGTTCATCAAATATTATACGTCTTAACACTCTGCTGCTGTTCCTAAGAATGACCAGCACTGTACCTAATAACCCTTCCTTCCGTTGGGCATATCAAATTACCATTACCTAATTTGGATGACTGACCAGTCACGTGACTAGTCAGATACAGTCTCTGAGAATGACCAGTCATCCCTCTATTCTCCAGTTACTCTGGGCATATCAATTTACATTACCTAAACAGGCCCATTGCCTAGTCATCTCAGTTGACCCCTACAAACTCAAAGTGGTTCAACCCATGATGAAACCCTCGAAGGTGGAATGACCCTTACACCAGGGGTCAATGTTTAGTAAGTCTACCCGAGTCTCTGTGTACAAACAACACTTATATCCATAAGTTTCAAATAAAATCAACCTTACAATGTTTAGGTAACAAGATCACTAGTAGATGCTGCATGTCTTTCAACAAAGGCCATCGGTGCAGGATAGCATCAACACCCAGACAGTACAAATTACATAAACATCAGTCACTGTGTCAATTCAAACCATTCAAATGGTATTGTAGAACAATACATTAGTATCTTGTTTCATCGATAGGTTGATAAAAATGACGATGGGCTATAGCAATCTCGGTTGTATACAACGTCGTTCTATAGAGACCATGCCAGTGAATGTCAAGCTGGTAAAAAAAAAGGTTCGACCCGCAGTGGAGACACTGGAAATGACCTGTTTAGATGAGCTGAGCCAGTAGAAAGAGAACTTTAAACATGGTCACAGAAAAGGTTCATGAATTCGTTTTGTAATCCGGTATCATTATGTATTCTTTACGTCAAAATATCATCAGATAATCAGATATTCTCTTTGGAACTAACGATTGATAACAAAATAAATACATATATTCTTATCTGATACTATAGAAATTCTAATCAAATATAAAAAATGGTATCAATTTCAAATATGATTGAAAAATCCACAACATGTTGAAATGTGTCTCTCTGTTTGAATGAAAAATTAATTGAGTGCTGGTAGAGTAACCCTATGACAGTAGATAGTGACCGGCATCCCTGTCATCAAATTGTTATAACCCGATACTGCCCGAATCGCACACAATGAATAATTGATGGTTTACGTCCTAACCACATAATGTAACAATACAAATACTCCGTATCCTGCCTGGAAAACCCCCATTGATAGTGATGCCAATAAGCTTGTCATTTTATCTCGTGTCAACTTATCGCAGGAAATGCAATCCACTGGACAGCCACTGTTATTAATGTAGTCTTCTCCACACTTCTATTAATCCCTCCCTACCCGTACAACCAGAGTGGACCCTGCTATCCATTGATAAAGGCTGTACCACAGGAGTTGTAAGGGGTGGGCAGGGTAGTTATATTAAGGCCTACATTATAATATTTTCATTTACAGAATGCATTTCATGGCTGTATGTACAAATATTTACTGAAGGCTAATCTGGTAGGAATATAGGAACTCGGCTCAAAATCTCTGGCATACATGTCAACAAACAGTACCTGGTGGATCTGACTTAATGGTCCGAGTTTGTCACTTGGAACAGACAAATAGCTAATGTTACGAGATTCATACGGGTACAGATCTTATCTACGGCTGAAATGCATATGCACCTGAGAGTATTGGCTGACTGATACCAAATATGGAGTGAATGTGAACGACATCCATTTGAAGTCCTCAACATTAGCATAGATAGCTGGTTAACTAGATAAGGAATCTCATTTTTTTCAAGGAAAACATTCTAATTAATCAGAACAAGGCCAACAAGTAACTACCCTATGTAATTTTTATGATAAAACTAATCTCAATAAAGTGGTTTGCAGGTGACCAATACCCATAAAACTGTTTCTGAAAAAATGCTCGGCCTTTAAACACATTCCTTATAAAAAAAATATTGGTACAACAAGTTCATACAATCTGCTGGTACATTAGATTATTTGTAAAATGTTCAAAGAAACTTGAAATTATAAATTTTAATTTACTTTTATACGAAGGATTTGAATTCACATCAGGAGAAATAACACGAAACAATATTCGTTATTTTAAAGGAGTTTGAAGCTATAGCCCTGGTGTAAGTTTCATTTCTAAGTGACTCCCCTGGCACATTAACATGGGATTAAATATTTGAGAAAAGTACAAATTCGAGTGACAGACAACAGATCACAGAACCTCGTAGGAGTGTATATTATGGCACTAAATGAGATATAGAAAAATTAATGAGATCATGCTATGAAAAATAATCGTAAATAATTTTCTCAGTGATTATGCTTGGACAAAAAGGTTTAAATGTGTACGGTGTGATGGGCACAATAGTGATAATGAAATGTTAATGTCTGTTTAGCCCGTCAGCGATGACCAAGCAAAGACCATTTAAATGAAAAAATACAAATACATAACGGATACAGTGATCACGTTAATTAAAATTAAATTATGTGTAGCACATCTCGCGAAACAGTTCACTGACAATTCAAAGACACACAGTTGTGTTTACCGTATAATTTATTGTTGTTTGGTATTGTCACTGTACAAATCCATTCTACTAATGGAAGATCGTACCAATAAAACTCCGGCTACCTCAGTTTATGTTTGCCAGATAATTGACTGCATGCTTCCTTGATTCAACCTAAATATGGCCTAAATAATGCATGCAGCATGTATTGTCAACTTCCAACTTCAGACGTTATTTTATTTGACGGGGACTTGCCACGCTAGCTTTCCACGGTACATTCACTTCGTAAACTCACTCATAATTCATGTGTTTAATTCTGGAAGCATAAGACCAGAACAGACTTATCTTTTGATGTTTTATTGAATATTGTCAATTTATGGAGTTTTCGGAGGAAGCTTTGGATTGAGGGTGTTGAAAATAACAGATGAACTGTTCAACCATGAAATAATGTGTAGCAGAATGCTAATATAAGGCAAATATGGCGTCAACAGTCCTGTCTGAATTTTTTTCGTACAACGTAATAATTACTTGGCGACACTATAGCAAGATCGAGGGCAATGTATATTTGATATGTCTACTGCTGAGTAGGTAATAAGTCTTGCATATCATACATAAGCCTAAAGGTCATCTGGTATGAAATTGAAGATGAGAAAACAAAACTGCATTTCATCTAATAAAGGTGTTCATTTTTTCTTACAAAGTGTTTAAATTTTATTTTGCTCATTACTTAAGCCAACTGTCAGTCGATCATCCTGTTAGCATGACACCTGTTATAGAGTAGCTCGCAACTGCATGAAAATAAGGCTGGGTTTGAAGTCAAACAATAGTTAGGGAGATAAGAAATAAATTAAGACATTAAAAATATAAAAGATCAGAAATGAAGGTAACTGAAACATGAAACCTTAATCACACTGTTGACACCAATAACAGTTAAACACAGCTTTTCTATCACTAGTTCTGCTCAAGCTTTTCTATCACTAGTTCTGCTCAAGCTTTTCTATGACTAGTTCTGCTCAAGCTTTTCTATCACTAGTTCTGTTCAGATTAGAGCCTGAGATTCTACACACAAAAAACATTTTGAAAGAATATGTCATAATTGTTTGCATTTGATAAAAATATTTTTGCAAAAATTTGAAATTATTTTTCTAAATAATTTGCCATCATTGTATATCAATCTCACAACCAGTATATGGACGAATAATTAAAAAATAACGATGCAGAGATGCCAACCTTTGTAAATGTGTAAGTGATGTGGTGTGTGATGTTAATGGAATAGTTGTGTTCTTCCTTAGGTGGGATTTAAGGATCCCCGTCCCACTGCACTGTGTTTTCTCTATAAACATTCACCTCCCCTTAACTTCCTTAAGGATCCCCGTCCCACTGCACTGTGTTTTATCCTATACAGTAACCTCCCCTTAACGTCCGTTTGGATATAAATGTAGCACAGTTTGGCCAAGCCACTTCCGTTGACCAGTTAGCTCAATCGATAAGAGAGACAGTACATGTATAACAATCTCAAGTCCGGGGTTAGAAACCCGTTCTGGCCCTGTTGAATGTTTACACTCAGAACACTATTATTGATTTATATATTGTTATTTCATATCTATAATTTCTCATAAAAGTCACGCAAGGTACTTTTTTTTTTCAGAAATGATTTATCAAAGCTTTATATAGGCATGCCGGAAATATAGTTTCCAACACTTAAATATAGTTTTGGGCAGTGGAACGGGGATCCTTATAAGACTTTTTGGGCACTAAGATCTATGAAGAAAGTCCAAAAAACTGCTTCACTTCTATCTTTTCCAAAAATGGTTTTACCAGTTAAACATAGTCGTTTACTACTTTTGTGATTACCTTGATTAAATGATATAAAATCAGAGTAAAACAAATAGAAATCTGGGAGTGGATCTTTAATTATAAAACTGGATTCACTCCGCACCAACAAAATGGTTGGCACCTCCGCAAATTAGTCACTAACTGTTTATTTGCTGGACGGATGCATATATATGTATTTGATGAAAAAAAATATGATGAATAATGGACGTATTTATGAATCTTTTGATAAAACATCAGTACAAATATAGATATGTTTTTCCTATTGGTCTGTTCTGGTGAGCACCATTCTACTGTAAATAGTGATAATGGAAGCATCATTTCTTTTACTGCCGATATAAAACTTCCAACATTTTTTAAACTTTGAAGCAAACATTTTTTTTCTAGCAAAATAACCAGAAACAAGAAATCAGTCAATCTAGCATAAACTAGAACACTTCATTTACATCTGGTCTCTGTCAGTAACACTACCGCGAATCTTTGTGAATCTTTGAATCAGGCAATCATGATTATGCAAGCTAGAAATGGAAATTCTGCTCCAAACCTTCTACATTTACTTTCTCTACTTGAATTGAAATTAATCAATTCACCAACCAAAATTATGTTTAAAAATTTGCTTTTCTCAAGGAAACAATTAAACCAGATATAACACAAATTTTGGCTTTGGACTGTATCAATGTACAATCCTATAGTCATTCTGTACATATGTACCGGTAGTATAAAATGCATAAAAAAATATATCACAGCACTTTGAGTTGGAGGATCACAAGACGGCACAGCTTATGCTGTTGATTCATTTGGAATGATGGGGGGTTTGTTGGTGCCGTTCCGACTTCCTCTGCTGCCTTTGCTGGCTTTGCTATCCACTGACGCAGTATCACTCATGACATTGTCTTGGGAACCTCTCTTTTTCTTCTTACCATTTTTCCTGCAGGAGAAAAAATGTTTATTTAGAGACGAATACACTAAATAAATTTCAATTATAAGTCCCAGTTGGTCGTGAGGTGAACAGCATTTGACAGCAAACCCCGAGTGCTGGTAGCTTAGTGAAGGTTTGATCCCAGCAATGGATGGCAACCTGTGTCGGGTCTCTAGAAAGGGTCCTTAAACAACTGTATAAAAATATGTCCTTAAACAATTGTATAAAAATATGTCCTTAACAATTAAATATGTCCTTAAACAATTGTATAAAAATATTGTAAATTTTGAAGCAGTTGGTTATGAAAATATCCACTATAAAAACACTCTACCACCAAATTTCTGAGTTACCATTCCTATTTTTCCCACAAGATTCTTTTTTGCCCGAACATAAATAATGCTAGAATCATTTTTGTGTAATTTATACAAGCAACCATCTCTAATGATTGGATACCACCTGTGTTAAGTGACCACTTCAATGTCTCCCACACATTTGATTTGATTGTGAAATGAACCTGTATTAAGAGACCACCTGAGTTAAAAGATCATTTTTGTTTACTTTCCGAGTTTTTTTTTTTTTTTTTTATACAGGCTTGACTTTATGTAACTTTTGCCACAGAATTACACAGCATGTGTACAATATGCATGGTTCACAAAAAAACATAGTGTGCAATGTATGTCAATTCCTGATAAAAAAGGCCTGTCATCATAACAAAATATCAGATGATATGAAAACTAATTAATTAGTATCCATAGAGTAAAGGTCAACAATCAGTTCTCCAGGTCACAAAGTCAGTTTGGTGACAAATGGCAATGTGTTGTCTACTTTCCAGCGAAAATTCAAAGCCCTTACAGTATAAAATTCTTAAAAAAAAATACAAGACTATTTTGTACGTAAAATGTTGGACAGGGAAATTCCACTCATGGTGTCTTCAAATAAGGCTAACCCTGGAAACTATAGTCAAAGGCTGAAACTAAATTTGAAAACTCTGATGGTAAAGTTTAACTTAACATAACAGGGCTGTTTTACATGCCTTTCAAAACTATTCTGAAACATGACGTCCCTTGACTGTAAAATGTTACATCATTTAGTTATTGTGAAGTGAGTATTACACCAGGCTAGTATATGAGGTTTCTAACACTCCCCTGCGACTTTCTTACTTAAAGCTTTATTCTTAGTCCTATACAGTTGATTTTTAAACAAAATAGGGAAACTTGGAACACACAAAGGGCAATAATTGCCGTCCTTACAGAAGATGTCAAGTTAACCCTTTCACCCCTATGTAACTTTAGTAGACTTTACCATGCATTGATATGGAGGGGTCCATTATGGTCTACAGTGGTGAAAGGGTAAAATTGCTATAGCTAGTGCCTATAAAAATACTTTAAAAAATCTGAATTATGGACAAATTTTTGGATGTCAGATAACAGTGTGAAATCATTGGGAAAGGCATACAATATGTTGTTTTGTTTTTGAACAATGTTTTTCATATTCATTTGAAAAAATACCAATTCCTGAGTTGTTTAATTTGTGGGTTTCTTATTGACAAAACTATAATTTTACTTAATGAGCAACATTCCCGTTCCAGTTGAATTCTCTAATTAAATTTGCCATCAAAATTTGAAAACCAATAAACTTATAGGTCGAAGGTCCCTGCCATTGACTTGACTGTACACAACTTCCGTTGTGGCCAAACAGAAGCCACAGTGATCAATATGAATAGTTGTTATTATAAGACACATCTACCAGTACTTTATACAACAAATACCAGTTACCACCAAATGAGAACAAAAAAAAGGCCACCAGAAAAGAAGTTAGAGCCCAGAAAGCTTCAGCCAATCAGAAGTAATGGTGGCCATCTTGGATTATGAAAACCAGATAATTTGTCCTTATTAACCACATAAACCATCCATTAAGCTACATTTATCACCAAGAAAGAACAAAAGTTGTAGCCAACACAGCTTCTTAGTTTTCCAGTTAAAAGAAAAAGAAACAACAAAATGTGTTTTTTTTTAGGATATTCTCAAATAACATTTAAATAAACCAAAGAGTCTGAATTTCTTCCTATATGGGTTACACCTCATATCATATCAATGTACATTTTTACTCAAAGCGTCCTTCTCTACAGAGTGGAGTTGGGGTGCAAATCTTTTATGGAATCTTTTGGGTTGGAGAAGCCCCCACTGCTCAGACCCCCCCCCCCCCCCCCCCAGGATAGCAAATGTTAAGACATGGGGGTCATGTAGCAGTGTATGCATTAGTCTTCAGATTAGATAACAGTTCTAGTTTGAATTTTGAATTGCTTGAACTAAAAAATAACAAAATTTTAATAGAAAAAACAACGAATTTATTAGATAAAGGCTGTTTACAATACCTACAGTGAAACATTATTGAAGGATTTATGAAGCAATAATCTGACCGACTGTATTCATACTGACATTTATTACCATTTTATTGGGTTGTAGAGATAATGTTACATACAAAATGAACACTATACAGTTGTGTGTAAAATGGCTACTGCTACGGTGACTAAGATGTTTTTATCATTTCTGTCTGCTACGGAGCGATATATGACACAGCAGATTTCTCCCAACACAGAAACCGTTAATATAAAACATAAACAGACACAAGTGCTGGACGTCCCGCGACAACACATGGTCAACCCATATCATAATGAAATGATATGCTTTTTACATGATTGGAACGTATATAACTCCACCAGATGAGGACATGCTGGTATTATTGTTACAATTCTCAAAGCACAGTATGACCTTATTGAATTGTGTTCCATCCCAGAAATCCAAAACACTGCCAGCTAAACATTGGGCGAAACTGAAAGCAAATATAAAGGATTTGTTTGTTTGTTTGGGGTTTAACGTCCTCGCAACAGCCAAGGTCATATGAGGACAGAAAAAAATATTGTTTAGAACATTGAAATCCCCTTAAACACTAAAAACCATATAAGTAACCCTTTATATTTTATGTGATTATTCGTGATAAAAGCTACCCTTGTCAAGTTCATCTTTTGTGATCACATTATTTGTTACCCTGCTGCCAATAGTTTGCTATTGAGAATGGAGCAAATGGATCTTTTACCACAGATATAAGATGTAATGATATTCCAAAGTGTCACCCTAGGGAATTTTCCCCATTAAACTGTAGTTCACTGGTTGTCATAGCAACAGATCAATACCTTTGATCACAGGTTTCTTGAACAAAATAACTGTAATTTTTCGACACATTTTTGAAATGGCAATCATCAATACTGTCACTGCTATTGAAATATAGGTAACAATGACGATGCTATGATAACAATACAGCTGGTATGTCTTATCAAAACTCATCAACCAGGATAACACAGATCTTAGATAGGACAGTGTCCTGACTATGCCCGGGGTAGAGACATATTGTACCCATAGCAACAGCTGCCTGCCTTCACAATAAAGGGAGTAATGGTCTAGATCAAGTATCCTACACTTATGATTATCAGTATCAGTGACAACTTGATCTATGCGCGGTACATCATCTTCCACCTGATGAAGCAACTATTCTATAAGTGGATAAATGTACAATGTATTCTTGTGTATTTAGTAAAGTACTTCTGCCTAAAGTGCTGATCATAAATTTCAAAAATTATACCCACAGACAGTTTTTTGTTTTATAAACAGGGAAAATTTGATTCTAAATCAGAGTGAAATGCTCAATGTACATTTTTTAAACACATCATCAAATTTCTGTACATAATGAATATCGTATAACACAATAAACCGTTGTTACCTCAAAATCAAAGAGATCAAACTCTTTGAGAAATCCAAGCATTTGAGATGATTAAGTTGGCCAACTAGATATTTATTCCTATAGCTATAAGAGCTTTGTTTACATCATTGTAATCACTGGAGGAAGAAGATGAAGAAGAAAGATCAGGAAACATCTTCTGAATATATTTGTCATAATCAGAGATTGGGATTATAAATCTGACTACATAGAGTACAGCCCAGTTAATCTAGCCACCTTTAATGCTGTTCCTTGCTATTTATGACCTAGCTTTAGCCACCACTAATCCTTGCTTTCTTGTCACCACTAATAAACTTTCCCCCACCAATAAATTCTAGCAACAACTTATCCTATTCCCTGCTTTTTGTTAACTGTTAATCCAACCTCTAACATTTTCTCCCATTTACTTCCCAACACTTATCATATTCCCTTAACTATCCAGCGTCCACTAATCCTGTTCCTCTACAATATAGCCACCACTAATCCTGTTACTCGCTACATTGTATGTAGCACCGCTAATCCTGTTACCCGCTATGAAGCACCACTAATCCCAATCCCCTGTTATCTAGCTACCACTAATCATGTTTCCCTGTTATCTAGCTACCACTAATCCTAATCCCCTGTTATCTAGCTACCACTAATCCTGTTCCCCTGTTATCTAGCTACCACTAATCCTGTTCCCCTGTTATCTAGCTACCACTAATCCTGTTCCCCTGTTATCTAGCTACCACTAATCCTGTTCCCCTGTTATCTAGCTACCACTAATCCTGTTCCCCTGTTATCTAGCTACCACTAATCCTGTTCCCCTGTTATCTAGCTACCACTAATCCTGTTCCCCTGTTATCTAGCTACCACTAATCCTGTTCCCTGCTATTTAGCACCACTAATCCTGTTCCCTGCTATTTAGCACCACTAATCCTGTTCCCTTGCTATTTAACACCACTAAGCCTGTTCCCCTGTTATCTAGCTACCACTAATCCTGTTCCCCTCCTATTAAGCACCACTAATCCTGTTCCCTGCTATTTAGCACCACTAATCCTGTTTCCTGCTATTTAGCACCACTTATCCTGTTCCCTTGCTATTTAACACCACTAATCCTGTTCCCCTGTTGTCTAGCTACCACTAATCCTGTTTCCCTGCTATTTAGCACCACTAATCCTGTTCCCTGCTATTTAGCACCACTAATCCTGTTCCCTGCTATATAGCACGTCTAATCCTGTTCCCTGCTATTTAGC